TTTTTAAATGAGCCGGAGTCTTGCTCTTGTCACTCAGGCTGGAGTGCAGTGGTGGTTCACTCCAGGTTCAAGTGATTCTCCTGCCTCAGCCTCCTGAGTAGCTGGTACTACAGGATCCTGCCACCACACCTGGCTGATCTTTTGTACTTTGAGATGGGGTTTCACCATGTTGGCCAACCTGGTCTCGAACTCCTGACCTCAGGTGATCCGCCCGCCTCAGCCTCCCAAAGCACTGGGAAAACAAGCATGAGCACCACACCCGGCCGATACCTTGATTCTTGATTAAAAGTAGATCTATTGTTTCACATGAAAACATTAGTTTGAAATGCCTGTGTTATTTTACTTACAATTTTTCGGCTAGTGATAGATGATTGTAGATTTCTCAGATATTCATTGACACCTAATGTGATCACAGCATAGTGTTAGGTGCATAGGATCAGCAGCAGCATGGCACTGGAATATTGGAGAGTGGTGGGCTTGTCTGAAATGCAGAGTTTTGGGTTTTTCCCCATACCTACTGAATCAGAATCTGCATTGCGAGAAAACCTGCATAATATGGGAGCTGGTGTGTATGTGACAGTGTGTAAGTCCCTTCTGTTCTAGAGAAGGGACTAAGTGGGCATGAATATCACTGCAGCTCTAGAGAATGCTACTGAAATGATTGGAAAGAGAAAGTTGGCTCAGATGGAACAGACCAACTTCAGAACAACAGGGCAGACCAACTTCAGAGCAACAGGGCAGAAATGTAGAAGGAAGAAGGGTCAAACCGTGTAAGCTAGTGTAGCAGTTTTATTTTTAAAATTAACCAAAAAGGAAATTATCTTTCTGCCTAGAACATAAAGTGGTTCTTAGAGATTGAGACTAATTCTTACTAATAAATTCTGAATAATTTTTTACTTAACATTATCACTTTGCTTAGCAGTTTGATTTGTTTAAAAAAAAAAAAGCTCTAGATATTAATACAATGTAATATGTTATCTTAAAAGTAGTTACTTAACTCTTATTCTAAAAAATGGGAGGAGAGACCACTAATTTAAGGTACAGATAGTACTTAAATTTGTTGGCCAGGAGCAGTGAATCAGTCCTGTAATCCCAGCACTTTGGGAGGCCAAGACGAGAGGATTGCTTGAAGCCAGCCATTCAAGGCTGCATGAGCTGTGATCATGCCTCTGAACTCCAGCCTTGGTGACAGAGTAAGACCCTGTCTCTTAAAAAAAAAAAAAAAAAAAAAAAAAAAAGGTGGGGGGCGATGGATAATTTTGTCATTGTAAAATGTTGTTCAAGGCACAATCTCAAATCAGAGAAGTAGCTCAAGTTTGTGGCTCATTACCTAAGAGAAGCATTGTCCTGATTTAGACAAGATTGGGCATGTTTAGGGTGATATGGCTATAGATTACCTTAAAAATGTTAGGACTCAGATGGAGCCCTAGGTAAAAACAAACTCCTGTGATCAAACCAGACCACTGAGATTAGTCTGTGGAGTTTACATGGTACAGTTTGTGAATTTTCTGCAAAGTGAATTCCTCAGTAATTGTGTGGAGTATGCTGAGAAAAATGCATATGTGTGCAACTGGACATGTCCAGCTGTGATCCTGGAATCAGCCCAGGTCATGTTCTTTGTCTGCTGTAGACTAAATCAAACAAGGATGGTGGAAACCAGGAGGTCGAGATTGCCCGTTGCCATAAGGGGCAGTACTTTGGAGAGCTTGCCCTGGTCACCAACAAACCCAGAGCTGCTTCAGCTTATGCAGTTGGAGATGTCAAATGCTTAGGTAAGAAAAGTTCTTTATGCATTGTTACTGTCTGTCTTTCTTTCTTTCTTTCTTTCTTTCTTTCTTTCTTTCTTTCTTTCTTTCTTTCTTTCCTTTTTCTTTCTTTTCTTTTCTGTTCTTTCTTCTTTTATTTATTTTTTTTAAAGACGGGGTTTCACCATATTGGTCAGGCTGGTCTCGAACTTCTGACCTCAGGTGATCCGCCCACCTCAGCCTCCCAAAGTGCTGGGATTACAGGCATGAGCCACCGCGCCCGGCATTGTTACTCTTTTTCTAACATGTAATATTTTTTCCCATCAGCAAGCCTTGACGTATTCTGCCAGCTTTTACTGCTGTCTAGGCCTAGGTAGTTTATGTGATCAACCAGATATGGATGAATGGATACATTCAGCAAACATTTCTGAGCACTGGTGACAGCCTGTGAGCAAGACAGGTATACAGGCCCTTTAGCCATATGAAAAGAGCTGATGTCCAGGGCTGCAGGAGAATGGGAGAATAGGTGCTGCTGGACTCTGTAAAGTCTCTAACATGGATGATACAGGATACAGTCTTTCTGCATTCATATAGAAACATCTCTTTTTGCAGGTGGCCATTGCCCCAAGGTGTAATCTCCTATAACATGAATGGGTGTGTTTAGGAAACGCTTTGCGTAAGAGAAATAGCTTGAATTCATTCTCTCCCTCACCCCTTTTTAATAATGCAGTTATGGATGTACAAGCATTTGAGAGGCTTCTGGGGCCCTGCATGGACATCATGAAGAGGAACATCTCACACTATGAGGAACAGCTGGTGAAGATGTTTGGTTCCAGCATGGATTTGGGCAACCTCGGGCAGTAGGTGTGCCACACCCCAGAGCCTTCTTAGTGTGACACCAAAACCTTCTGGTCAGCCACAGAACACATACAGAAAACAGACATGACAGAACCGTTCCTGCCGTTGCCACCACTGCTGCCATTGCTGTGGTTATGGGCATTTAGAAAACTTGAAAGTCAGCATTAAAGGATGGGCAGAGGTTCAACCCACACCTCCACTTTGCTTCTGAAAGCCCATTATTAGACCACTTGTAGAGATTACTCCAACCCAGTTTTCACATCTTTGGTTCAGAACGGCATGTCTCTCCAACAATTTAAGTGCCTGATAGAAAGTCCAAAGTATAAACATACTCCTTTCCTCTCTTGCTGCTACTCTTGCTTTTGGAAGTTACCACAGGGTCTGCAGAATCCTGTTGTATAAGTGTAGACACTCTCTAATCTTTCTCAAAGGAGGAAATGTAGCCTTCAGTCTCCTCATTTGTCCTTTGAGAAAGTCCACATTTGTTCACAGTTGCAGCCTTTGGTTTTACAGTGGGAAATGGTGGCGGATGAGATGGGCATATGTGGCCCAGTGGCGTTGTACTGTCTGCTGACCACTGTCTCCAAACCCACAGTGATGCTTAGGGAAAGACCCTGCTCAGGACCCAGCAGATCAGCACCCCAGAGCAGACTGATATGTCAGTGGGACCCATGTTAGAGCAGAAAATTTGGGCTCAGCACATTTTACTGTTAGTAGAGAGCCAGGAAAGGTTTTCCGGGTTGGGGATTTTTTTTTTAGTAGGTTTTGTTTAACCTCTGTGCAGTTTGCATGAATGAATTACTATCCATTTATAAGGAGCCAGGATCTGGAAGGTTGCTATCACTTTGTCTGACCCAAATACCTTCCTGGGCAACTCCTACCATTTGTTTGCAACTGCCCCTCCTGGCTAATGGCAGTAGGCTGGCAAGAGGTTGTACTATAAAGAGAGCTCTTGCCTTCTACTCCAGAGAATTATTGTGTAGCTTTGCCGTTGAACCTGCCAATTTTTAAACTCCTTAAAGAAGCAGCAGCTATTTTTTTGAAATTAAAACAAATTATTTCTCAGGCCAAGCTCAAAGGCTCATGCCTATAATCCTAGTGCTTTAGGAGGCTGAGGTGGGAGGATCATTTAAGACCAGCCTGGGCAACAGAATGAGACCATCGCTCTACAAAAAAAAATTTTTTTTTTAATTTGTCAGGTGTGGTGGTGCCTGCACGTAGTCCCAGCTATTTAGGAGGCTGAGGTGGGGAGGATTACTTGAGCCCAGGAGGTCGAGGCTACAGTGAGCTGTGATCCTGCCACTGCACTCCAGTCTGTGTGACACAGTGAGACTCTGTCTCAAGAAAAGGAAAAGAAAAAATTATTCTTTAGGTAATTTAACTTGGACATATTCATATATATGGAGTTTGTCTGCTGATGCAGGCATTTGTCCTAAAGATCAAATCTGTTTTCAAAAATTGGCATCATTTACAATTCCATAGAATTACCGTGAAGGCCTTTCTAGGTAAGATGTTGGGGTATTTGGAATTCTAATTGTTAACCCCAGAAGAAGGTAATTTCACTTGTTTTTATTTAAAACCCATTTAGCCTTTTAATTCTCTCAGGTAGAATTCCAGTGATCATCCTAACAAGGCATATTTCAGAATAATTTTTTTTTCCTTCAGAATAACTTAGAATCAGATGCTGTAAGGGGTCCTAGGAGCAGTGTGAAATTTCCATAAAGATAAATTTGAATGTTGTAATCAAGTTTATATTAAATCAAGATGCCCATTCCAATATGATTTTTTTTTTAACTTGTATAACTCAGTAAGTCCCTAAGAGATTACGTGCTAGGGCTTGAGTCATTCCTGTTGTAGATAATGATGGTCCACACAGTCACCTTCCACTGTCCACATAAGCTAGGCTTTCTGCTTTTGCCACAGACAGTGTGGCCAAGATATTTCCAAAGTAAATAACCCACCACAACCTTAGTAATTTCTCTTTTCTTCTTACACTTCACAAAGCAAAAGCAGAAGGACTTTTTTCAGACTGCCCTCTGTAGCCTACATTGAAGCTTTCGGAATAGTGATTAATACTCCCAAACAGGCAGCTAGCACTGAGAAAGACCATGTGGTGATCCCACATTTTTCTAAGGTTCTTTTTCTCCATGGTGTTACTTTATTATCAGATAAATTCAGAAAGCAGGTCTTGTACTTAGCAGACAAGAACCATACCAATTTCTTGCAAAGGTAACAGGTACATTGGGTTTTAGGAGTGACGCAGAGGTCCAGCCCTAGAACTTGTGAGGATTTTGTTTGAACACTAAGCAGATGCCTCCTCCCTACCACCCATCATACTAGTTAGGGCTGGCTGTGAATTCTGTGCCAGAGTCACTCCTGCAGTCTGCTAGGGATGGGCCTTCTCATCCGATTCTCACACAATCCCAGTCTGTCTTTCTCTTCACAGACCCCTCCTTGACATCCCTGACTTGATGGTTTTGGAGTCGAACTGATCAGGTTTAAGTCGTCCTGCTCAGGTTGGGCATGGTGGCTCATGCCTTTAATCCCAGCACTTTGGGAAGCTGAGGTGGGAGGACTGCTCGAGCCCGGAAATTTCAAACCATCCTGGGCAACAGAGGGAGACCCTGTCTCTTCACACACACACAAAACAATTAACTGGACCTGGTAGTGCATGCCCAGGAGGCTGAGGTGGAAGGATTGCTTTAACCCAGGAGATTGAAGCTGTAGTGAGCCATGATCGTGCCACTGCACTCCAGCCTGGGGGACAAAGTGGGACCCTGTCTCCAAAAAAGAAAGTCATCCTCCTCTAACTACTGATTGACATATGGATTATCAGTTCAGACCTTCTCTGCATGCAGGATTCCTAGGGAGTTCTATTTACTAGCTTGAGGAAGAGGGACTTTAAAAGGACGTGTGTGAGTGAAATAGGATATAGCCATTACCACAGTGCCAGGACCTGACAGCGTTCCAATTCTTTTTGCAGCATGGGGAATCAAAGGTGGCAGGCCAAGTTCAACTCAGGGCTGAGGTATCCACATTATCCACATCAGGCAAGCCCTGCACTGATGGTTGAGCCTCATGGAGAGGAGCATGTGTTGGGAAGAGATCCCTTTGTTAACTATTTTATGTTCTCTTCAATGAGTTAGTGCTCATACCCCATTTCCGGCTTTGCTGTTGATTTTGGATGGTAGAGAACATTCCTGAGACCCTTCCTTTTGGCCCCCAGCATATCCCACCCACTCTCTTCTCCTGAACGAATTCTCTGAAGAAAAGGTACATGTGCTGTTGTCCAGTTAGTCAATAATCTTCATATATAATTGTGTTACATATATTGCGGTAGACTCTCAGAAATCAGGGGAGAGCTTTCCCTTTGAACAGTTCAATGAGTGAATTCAGCAGCAAAGTGACAAGAAATGCATATCCAGCTAGGAGAGGTTATGTTTATCCTCTAATTGCCCATTTTCTCTGTGCACAGTGATACTGTAGTCAGTGAGAGGTGCTGTTAGCACCTGTGTCACAGTGTACAAGCTTCTCTCATTTAGAAAAAAAAGCATTTTACACAGAGAAAAAGTAAGAAGACTCACGAATGCCATCTTCTATCTTTTATTTTCAGTTGACTGATGTTGGAATTTTTGTTCTTGTCATGCACTTGTAAAGCAATCTTGCCAAGATATGAGTTGTTTTGGTTTTTCACTATGATTACCTCTTGTTCCTCCTGTCTTGACTGCTGGCGTTCCTCAATTCTTCTATTGTCTATTTTATGGGAAGCAGCTTTCCCATAGGTTTCCTTTTACACACTGCAGGGCTATCTTTATACTTAAAAAAAAAAAAAAAAGGACAAGAACAGTCACTAACCTCATGGGGGCTTTCATAAAACCATTTAGCCCACCTTGAGCAAAGGGTAGATTCCGTGTTTTTTTTTTTAAGCTCACTGTAATAAAAGAAATCTGATTCAGCATTATTGTGCTACCTCAACGGTAAAAAATGTTTTAAGGTCTTCTTTTGGTCCTAAGTTCTACATATAGGGTTTGAAATGTCTTTCAATTGGAATTATTTTTTAAATCATTGGGGTGAATTTTATTTTAACCTGTTTTAAACTTGTATTTTAATCTCAGAATAATAAGTGATTGAAAAGAGATCAATTCTTGCTCTGTAGTGTTAAAAATATAATGAACAGTCATTAAGTATTAAGTCTGTTTGCCATAAATAAGGTTGATGTTCTTTTTGTTTTTGTTAAGGAAACTCTAGGGCTTGGCTTTACTCTTGATTAATAAAGGCTGACAAATCATGTCTGACTTTCTGGTGCAGTCTTGTGTTATATGTTTGCCATTTTGTTTCAGGGCTCCAGGTCATTATAGCACTCGTTTGGCAGATACACTCTTCTAGCAGATCTGGGATTGGGGTATGAGCTCAGGAAAATTAGGGAGCCCTTGAAAATTAGCTCTGGACTTGTGTACTAGTCAAGGTTCTCCAGAGAAGTAGTCAGTAGGGAGTGTGTATATGTGTGTGTATGAAGTTTTTTTGTTGTTGTTTTTGTTTTTGTTTTTTTAGTGGCAAATATCACTATGTTGTCCAGGCTGGTTTTGAATTCCTGGGCTCAGGCAGTCCTCCTGCCTCAGCTTTCCAAAGTGCTGAGATTACAGGTGTGAGCCACTGTGCCCAGCCTAAAGATTTATTATATGGAATTGGCTCACACAGTTATGGAAGTGAGCAAGTCCCAAGATATGCAGGGTGAACTGGCTAGCTGGAGACCCAGGAGAGCCAATGGCTTAGTTCTAGTCCAAGTCTGAAGCTCTGAAATTCAGAAAAGCCAATGTTGTTGTTGTTGTTGTCCAAAAGCCAGCAAGCTCAAGACCCAGGAAGAACCAGTGTTTCAGTTAGAGTCCAAAGGCAGGAAAAAAGACAATGTCCCAGTTCAAAGGTGGGCAGGAAAGAGAATTCTCTCTTTCTTGGGGAAGAGGGCCTTTTCATTCTATTCACACCTTCAACTGATTGGATGAGGCCCACCCACATTAGGGAAGGTAATCTTCTTTACTCCTATACCAAATTAGATGCTAGTCTTATCCAGGCTGGAATGATGGCTCAGGCCTGTAATCCCAGCACTTTGGGAGGTGGAGGTGGGTAGATCACCCAAGGTCAGGAGTTCGAGACCAGCCTGGCCAATATGGTGAGACCCAATCTCTACTAAAAAGACAAATATTAGCCAGACATAGAGGCACATGCCTGTAATCCCAGCTACTTGGGAGGCTTAGGTAGGAGAATCACTTGAACACAGGAGGTGGAGATTGCAGTGAGCTGAGATTGCATCATTGCACTCACTCCAACCTGGGTGACAAGAGTGAAACTCAGTCTCAAAAAAAAAAAAAAAAAAAAGTCTTATCCAAAAACACCCTCACAGAAACATCTGGGGTAATGTTGGACCAAATATCCGGGCACACTATGGCCCAGTCAAGTTAACACATAAAATTAACAATCACAATATTGTATTTCAATTGTGGATGGTGTGCAAGGGTATCTAGTGTATCTCTTGCCAGGAAAACAAACTCACCAATGAAACCCAGCAGAGCTGGGCATGGTGGCCCACATCTGTAATCCAAGTGCTTTGGGAGGCTAAGGCAGGAGGATCATTGAAGTTTGAAACCAGTCTGGGCAACATAGTAAGATGCTGTCTGTACAAAAAATAAAAAATAGCCTGGCACAGTGTCTCTAAAAAAAAAGGGGGCTGGGTGAGGTAGCTCACAGGCTCACACCTGTAATCCCAGCACTTTGGGAGGCAGAGGCAGGTGGATCACCTGAGGTCAGGAGTTTGAGACCAGCCTGGCCAACATGATGAAACACGTCTCTACTAAAAATATAAAAAATAGCTGGGCGTGGTGGCAGGCACCTGTAATCCCAGCTACTTGGGAGGTTGAGGCAGAGAATCACTTGAACCCAGGAGGCAGAGGTTACAGTGAACCAAGATTGCACAGCTGCATTCCAGCCTGGTCAATAGAGTGAGACTCTGTCTAAAAAACGTAGAGGCCAGATATGGTGGCTCACACTTGTAATCCCAACACTTTGGGAGGCTGAGGCAGGCGGATCACGAGGTCAAGAGATAGAGATCATC